CGGGCTTTACTCCATTTGCGTCATCACAGTCAGCTCTACTCTAAGGAGGCAGCTCTTCCCCAGTCGCATTTTGAGTGCCTTCCAACCTGAGGAGCTCATTTTCCGGCACTATATCTGATAATGTTTCTCTGCTATTCATAAGGTTTTCAGTGACTAAATATTCAGAAGTAGTTCGGCACTCCTTCTTCCTAGTGTCTTCATCTGGAAGCTCATCTGAAACCTGTCCACCATGGGTGACCCAGCTGGTATTTAAAATACCGGTGGCATAGCTTTCAGAATGACAGCAACTCACAAGCCACCACAGTATGACAAAGTGACAGACGAGTGGTGGAGAAATACTTTATGTCCAGCAATTCCTCTACTTGGTATATATCCACAAGAAATACGAGCCATAGCACGAGTAGATATAAGTACACCAATGTTTTTCACAGCACTATTCACAATAGCAAAAAGATGCAGACAGCCTAAGAGCCCATCAACTGAAGAATGGATAAACAAACTTTGGTACATCCACACAATGGAATATTATGTAGTCTTGAAGAATAATGATGAAGTTGCAAAACACCTCATAACAAGGATGAAGCCAAAGGACATTAAACTGAGTAAAGTAAGTCAATCACAAAAGGACAAATATTGTGTGAGACCACTATTGTAAAAATTCAAGAAAAGGTTTCCATACTAAAAGAAATATTCTTTGATGATTACCAGGTGTGGGAGGAAAGTAAGAGTAATTTTCTGGCTAGAGGGTAGACACATACTACCTCAATCAAGTAAAGCGGAAGGCAATATACAAGACAGCTGGCAGAAGAATGATAAAGACAGGTGAACACACAGGGACGTATACAAGGGCTAAAGGGGATCGAGGCATGGAGATAGAACAAAGTGTACGACTTGTTGAATTTAAACTGATGATCTTGTCTGTAAACCTTCACTCAATTCACAATAAAAAGTTTAATTAAAAAGAGGCTTTCCGACTTCTGCTTTAATCAAAGAAATCGTCCTTACCAGGAACACTCGGCCTGCATGTAGTTCTGGCTGGAGAGTACAGCAGCAGCATCCCTCACTGATCTCTCCTGCCCTCCACAGGTCTCTTCGCTCCATCTGCGCTCACTGCCTTATCCTGTCTGCCATCTTTAGGCATTTGAGGTTGCAGCTCCTGATCTAGCCCAACTCCTCTCTACCCACAGAGATTTGGTCCTATCTCTTACTCTCCATCCTCAAACCGAGCTCCCTTCTCACAGGTTGCTGCTATTCCCAATGTCCTTGGATTCATCCTCAAAGAGTTGAGTTGGAGCAGAGGCTGGGTACCGACCTCTACTGGAACAGTCTGGAGGAGACTTGATAAAGACGCAGAGGCAGATGCACCAAATGGATTTAACGGAAAGGACCTACTTCCTAGTCATGAGAAGATGCTTCCCTGGTCTCATCACCCCTTCCATCTGCAGCCCCACTGACCTTGGTTGAAAGCCCCCAGCTCAGAAGCAGTTCCTGTCAGAAGCATGTACATCCTTATAGAAGTCTCCACTTGTAAAGTTTCTGGTTCACTAAAGGGGAAAGGCAAATCCTGCTACAAGGAAAACGTGCATCATAAAGTATTTCTCCCTCACATTGATCACACGGTAAGCACATGCAGAAGCCACACTTGTTCCTCTCAAACTACACACTGGAGGACTTCTCAGGAAGCAATCAGGCTGCCAGGGAAGGGTATGAGCAATCACAGGATGATAACAACTGTAGGTCTCAGTGATTCATCAGTTTGTCTGTGCCAGGCACAGTGTTTGTAGGACACGGTACACATTACTTCTTACTTTTACCATGACCTTTACAGGCTGTGCGATGTCACTCTATTTGCATTTGTTGTTGTTATTACATGCTGCCAAATAAGTTCTGTCTCCCAGAAATCCTGTATAGAGTTTCTGAGGAACGGCTAGTGGGCTTGAACCATCGACCTTACAGTTAGCAGTCTAGTGCTTAACCTACAGTGCCACACCAGGATTCCACTTTTAGAGATAAGGGAAACGAATGTAGACAGGAGTCCTAGTGTGGCGCTGTAGGATAAAGCATTGGACTGTAAAGTCATTTTGAACCTGCAAGGTGGTGTTTCAAACCTACCAGTCACTCCTCGGAAACCTTATACAGGGTGGCTATAAGTTGGAACTGACTCAACGACACTTAACAACAACATATAGATAGATGGATAGATAAGATAGAGTTACAGATAGATATACATATTTGGAGTTCTGGTATGGCACTGTGGGTTAATGCACCAGACTGCAAAGCCGTTTGAACTGCAAGGCTGGCGGTTTAAGCTCACCAAATGCTCCTTGGAAACCCTATACAGGGTCACAATGGGTCAGAATCAACTCAATGACACTTAACAACAACAACATATACATATTTATTGTTGTTAAGTGCTATCAAGTCGGTTCCAACACATAGTAACCCTCCATAGGGTTTCCAAGCAGCGGCTGGTAAGCTTGAATCACTGACCTTGCTGTTCAACTTGCTGTCCAGCGCATTAACCCACAGCACCACACCAGGACTCCATATATACATATACATGTGTACATATATGTAACATGTGTCATGTTTATAAATATACAGTACTCTCTAAAATAGACCTTTTCCTCCCTGGGGTAGTGGCTCCACCTTCTCACTAGCTTGGGTGAACCTGGTCCGTGTTAGAAACCTCTCTCAGGGCTGGCCTGAAGGAGTACTCCTATGCTTACTTACGGTCTGCCATTCGTCTCCTCCCCGCTGGCTGCTGTCTTTGACTCCAAGGCATTGTTGAAGTTGGAGATGTTTTCAGAAGAGTAGAGGCCAGCTGGGTTGTTGTACTGGTTGGTGATGACCCTGGGGGCAGAGCTAGTGGCCGGCGAGGCGGTAAAGGGCATGGCACTTCGGTTGTGGGCACTTCCAATGTGCAGGACTTCCTGCAGGCAAGGAACAGAGGAGAAATCTAGGAGGGTTCCCAATGAATGTTCCTTGATGGGCAGTGCAGGCTGTGGGCCAGGGTGCGAGGTGCCCAGCTGAGCTATGTGTGACACTGATTCCACACTGCACTTTAACTGAGGGGCTCTGGGTATCCACTGAAACACTCGGGCCACAGCCATGAAGTCTCTCATAAGGTAAGAAAGTGTTCAGGTTCACACAAGGATCTGACCAGAGCAGGATCCCTTTGATGTCATGGGTGGTCAGGGCCTAAGTCAGAGCTGAAACCCCCTTTCAGGGCACATTCCAGAAGGATTATGGTACCAGGAGGAGAAGAGCATGCAAAGTCCCTTCAGTCAGTTTCAAGAGGGAGATGATAAAGTGTGAAGATAAATCCCCAGAACAGAGCCTGCTGAGACAAGCACAATAAAAGGGTTGTGGTACCACAGGGTGAAGCCAAGAGCCTGGGCAGAGGTGAGCTCCAGACTCTGGCAGAAGTGGGTTGAAGGGAATGAACGTTCCGTTGTTTGTTGCAGGTGAATGAGCAGGCTCATCAGATAGAAGGTGAGGGGATACCTCTCACGGGGGTGGTGCCTGAGGAGCTGCATAAGAGGACTTTCCGTTCCTGGTACTCTCATTCTTGTCATTTGAGAGAGCACACCCCAACCCAACTCCAACCCCAACCCAGCCAGGATTTCCTTGGAATCTGGTGAATAATTATTACAGCTACATCTCAGAGTTTCTATATAAACACACCAAAATACATATACTTTTAATAAACTTTCTTTTTCAAAAAAATCACACCTTTAAAGTGACTGAATTAGGAAGGTCTTTAATGTGGGTAAGCACTGGAATGCTAATCACAGGGTTGGTAGTCACTCCTCAGAAGACAGACGAGACTGTCCCTGGAAAGATTCACCGTCTCTGAAACCCTCAGGAGCATCTCTACTCTGCCACCATGATTCAAAATCAACCCGACGGCAGTGGGTTTGGTGGGTGGGTTACTACAGAAGTTTCTAGATCAATCCATGGCTTCCAGGTGGGCAAGCTCTGTGCAGCCAGCTAAATTCAACAAGTAACCAGATGCTACACAGGCAATTCCAAATCATGACACCCCGTGATGTGTGTCAGAGTAGAGCTGACAGAGATCACCAGGTCCTTCTGAGAGGCTTCTGGATGGATTCAAACCTCTGAACTGTTAAGGTTAGCAGCTGAGAGTTACTCATTTGAGCCACCCAAGGACTCCCTTGCCAAACTGAAAATGCATCTTTTTTTCTGGTTCCTCAAAAAAAAAATCTTCCTGAACCTTCCCTCACCTCTTTCTTAAACACCCAGGTCCAGAACAACTGTCCCCAAAGTTCCTGTCCTCTGATGCTCTTCCTTTTTTTGTCTTTTTTTTCCCGTTGTTGCTAAATCTTTGAGTCTTACATTGACAATAGAAAACAATGTGCATAAAAGATTTCATTGTAAACCTAATTGAAACTAAAAGACCAAAGAAAATTGTTTTAGGATTAAGATTTCTTTTTCACTATGAAGGCAGGCTTTCTCTTCAACGAGTCCAAATCAGCAGTTTTACTGAATAAATGATGTTTAGTTGACGTGCTCTGTATTTAGGACCTAAAAGTAAAGTCCACACAGATGTTCCACAAAAGGGGAAGTATAACTAGTTAAGAAAAAAAAAAAACACAAAACAACTTCACCAGTGATCAAAAAATGGTTAAGTACATTTTCTGGCACAACTCCCCAAAAGAAAAGTATATAGACAGTCATCAAGGCTGTGGTCGCGATGAAGACTACAGCCAAGTTGTGGATGGGCAGCTGGGAGTTCTGCCTACATTATAGCCCAGTGACCGCTCAGATCACAATGTTTCCCTCCTCTCTCATCGTCCACAGCAATTCCCAGAATGCTGGACGCCAGAGACACGAACTCTTCTTTTTCTGTCTTGGCTCAGTTTTTCTCCTGCCACTTCCTGTTTGGCCTTGGACAATTTAGCTAACTTCTGAGAGGCCATTTCTCTCTCTCATCTTCAACAGAAAGACAATACAACCTCTTCACAAGAACCTGCTGGCACACAGCAGATATCCAACCAGTCAGTGCCCACTCCCTTCTCATATTTCCAATTAGAATGGAAGTCAATGGAAAAGTTGGGTTGCAGATTCTGATTTTCACATTGTGGGGAATCTCTCAACAATTTATCTGTTTTGTATATAAAAGGAATATCTCTACCCCCATACTGGTCTTTCCAGAAGTCAGCAGATTCAGGGCCTGCCTGTTGGAAGGGATGATGTAATTGTTTGGCCTCTGTATTTATCAGTCTCCAAGGAAACACAATAATGAGGAAATGTAAACTAGGTGTGTAACTACCCTGACCTCAGATAAGCTGGGGTGTTGGTTGGCATTACATGAACTAACAGATCTTTTTATTATAGATGAACTTTGCGCTTACTTGTTTCTCAGCTTTTTCAAGTGGCTGAAAGTAGAAGATTTTGGAAAATTTAGGTAGTAGTTTTGCATAAAAATAAAGAATTATTGGAATCAAAGGAAAGACATACCCAATTTATATTTCAATGTAAAAGCATTTGAGGTTGTTTTTTTTTTTAACCTGAAAAGATCAACCTTCAAAATACTAATACAGTAACTATATGCTTAGGACAAAAATTCAAGTGTGGTACAACTTAAAATATACAACTGAAAGTTAAATGCTTATTAATTTAAGGAGTCCTGGTGTGGCACTGTAGGATAAGCACTGGACTGTTTATCCTAAGTAGTCCAGCGGCACCTGGGAAACCCTATACAGGGTCACTATGGGTCAGAACTGACTCGATGACACTTAACAACAGGATTTCCAATTCATAAATAACAATACATTCCTTCCTTGTGTGTTGTAAAATATACGAACGCTTAACACATTAAAACTGAACATTTTATAAGTAAATTTAATAAGCTGAAAGAAGGTGCTCTGGTAGCATAGTGGCTAAGCACATGACTACTAACCGAAAGATCAAACTCATCAGATACTCTGTGGAAGAAAAACGTGGCAGTGTGCATCCACAGAGATTGTGTTGTTGTTAAGTGCCACTGAGTCGGTCCCGACTCGTAGAGATGCTGTACAGGGTTTCAGAGAAGAGGCTGATGGGTTTGAACTGCCGACCTTGCTATTAACAATCCAGCACTTAACCTACAATGCCACACCAGGACTCCAATGGAAACCCTGTGCAACAGTTCTACTCTGCCCTATGTTGTTTTTGTTGAGTGCCATCGAGTCTATTCCAACCCATAGCGACCCTGTATAGGGTTTCCTATAAGGTCCCTAAAAATTGGAATCAAGTCAACAGAAACAGGCTAATGCACTAAGTGAGTTTAACTTCATACGACTTTCTGTTTCATGTATAAAGGATGACTAACTATGTGGCTAGATCTCAATTCAAATATTCATTCATTCATATAGGTAATTTACAAATTGCAAATAGGAAAGCAAGAAATGGGTCATCTATCATCTAACCACTAAGAGACTTATAAATACAGGGTCTTAGGAAGTCTACTGTCCGGGGAAACTACTTGCTCCAAAATTGTGCATTTACTCTACGCTGTGTTTCAATATTCACTATTTCATAACGATAATTCCAAATTTTTATTTAATTAATCTACTCCTTTTAAATTTAGAAATCACTGGTTGGATAATTTTTATATGTGCCAGGCAGTTAAGTAATTTCTAAATGAAGTCTCATTGTTTGTTGTTGTTAAGTGCCATGGGGCCGGTTTTCGACCTAGAGCGACCCTGTATAGAGTTTCTGAGGAGCAGCCAGTGAGCCTGAACCACAGACCTTGCAGTTCAAACGACTTTGCAGTCTGATGCATTAGCCCACAGTGCCACACCAGGACTCCGAAGTCTCACAAGAAGCCATATATTACTTGTAACAAAAATGGAGATTTCTACCCTATAGCTTATGGAAAACAGCTAGGGGTGCACAGGGAGGAGAAGCAATGTTTACTATTAAATTTCCCCTTGTTTCTTTTAGGGCTCCAGGCTTTGCAGCCCAAATTTATTTTTGTCCAAGGTATGACTCACTTGTATCTGAAATCCACATGGAGCTGAGTTAGTGCCTTCATTATCCCATGGTCCTGCCAACCCTATTCCGAGCAGGAAGGCTTCCACCCGCTTCCCTTATCGCCTTCCTACCACCTCCTTCCAGCCTAGGCCTCAATGTCACTGGCCTGGTGTTTTCCAGCCCTTTCCTCCCCAAGTTCCCTTACGGGAAGAACTGAATAAAAGCCAGATCCCAGCAGTGGCAGGGCAGGACTCTCCCTGCTGTCTTATCCACAGGCCTCCAGGGCAGGAAAAATGGGATGTGCAGAGCATTGTCTAAAGCAGAAAAGAAGAAGAAAGGGGTGCAGGCTTTGAAACCTGGGGGATGAGGTGGACCAGCAACAAACTACCAACACAACAGAGGAGGAGCCTCTGATTTTATCAAGCTCAGCCTGAATAAGCACATTAATGTAAAAATGTGAAATGACCCAGAGCTTAGAGGAAGATGATGTGCTTATGATCAACATTTAAATAGGATATTATGAAATGTGGGAGAAACTGTGACTACTAACTATAGAAATTATTGAAGACACATAGGAAGAGATCAACAAATCAACAAAACAGAACATCCCAATGCTCTTTGTTTGGGGAGATGGTGTTACACTAGTTACCCTTCCATTGAGCTGAAACAAAGACTATGTTCTTGTGTGGAAAAGAAGAAACTTTATACCACTGCTTCGTTAAGATAAAATATATTCAAAAGAGAAACCTGTGTAAAGTTTGTTATTCAGGAATGACCATGGATTCTTCCACTCCTGAAATGAGTTGACTGAGTTGATGTACAGAGAACTTGCAAGTTCTTATGCCAACTGGCATTTTTATTTTTCTCCAGCCTTCCCAGTAAATATAATCACAAAAATACAGAATTCTTTTTGCAAAAAAAAAAAAAAAAAGGCAGAAAGGAAAACAAGCTGGGTGGTAAGAGCAGGGATAGATGAACAAGTACTCACTTGGGGTTCTGAAGCTAAATTCATCTTGTATGGATGACGCTTCCCTTCCTCGGTCACCAGAGGAGACCAGATTTTATGTTCAGATCTGAAACATATTAACAGAACTGTTGTTGCTTTCATGCCAAATAAATAACACAGACTAAACACAGAATGGGAAAACGTCCCTAGGTGGCAACATGTTCCGCTGCTAACTAAAAGGTTAGGGGTTCAAGTCTACCCAGAGTAACCCAGACAAAACGTTTGGCAATCTGTTTCTAAAAACTCAGCCACTAAAAACCTTATGAATTACAGTTCTACTCAGAGACACATGGGCTCGCCAGGACTCAGAGTCAAAGCAACTGCAAGCTTTTAAAAATACAAGGGACTTCCAAAAGTTCATGGAAAAACACACTAAAAATAATGGAAATTTTCCAAGAACTTTTTCAAGACCCCTTGTATATACAATAAACGTATACATACAAGGATTAATAAAAAAAAAAAAAAGTATTGCTGAAAAATCATAGAAACTTTTATTAAACAAAAACATCAAAATGTGAAGCTATTGTTTCTCAACATACTCTCCCTCTAGGTCTAGGCCTAGACCCTTCTGAAGGTAGTGTTTCTCTGCTACTGTAGTGGTCACAAATTGTGCTTCTAACTTCAAGGTCAGCAGTTCGAAACTACCAGCTGTTCCAGGGGAGAAAGATGAGGCTTTCTGCTCCCGTAAGGATTTACAGCCTCGGAAACCCTATGCAGGGTCACTGTGAGTCAGAACTGACTCCCAGGCACATAACAACAACAACAACTCTCCCCTGAGAAGAATTCTGCAGGCTGCAATTTACATACTTTGGCATCCCTGGGGGACTCAAATTGTGTTCCTTTAGAATGTTCTTGGCTTTATGGAAACAAAAGAAGTTAGAAGGAGCACTATCAGGGCCTTACAGTGGATGAGAAAAGGCCTCCCGATGGAATTCTCCTAGGGTAGCCCCTGCTACGCTTAAAGAATGAGCTGGTGCATATTGCCCGAACGGAAAAATTCCTCAACACAACTCTCCTGGCCTTTTTCTCACCAAAGCGGTTTCCAGTGTTCTTAAAACATCTTCATAATAAGTCCCTCTGATCATCCTATGTCCTTTCAGGAGAGGAGATTGCTAGATCCTTCTCCTGTGGGCCCACTGGTGGTGTTGATTTTGTATGGGGTTTCTGAGGCTATTTAAATCTTTATGGGAGCAGAAAGTCTCATCTTTCTTCTCGGAGCAACTGGTAGATTCAAACTACTGACCTTGTGGTTAGCAGCCCAGCTCATTGTCCACTATGCTACCAGGGCTCCTTGGGGAGCCATTTGTTGCTGTTGTTGTTGTTAAGTGCCACTGAATTGGTTCCAACTCATAGTGATCCAGCATAGGATTTCTGAGGAGTGACTGGTGAGTTTGAACCACCGACCTTGCAGTTCAAACCCACCTTGCGGTCCAGTGCTTATCTGGTCCTGGTGGCACACCAGGACTCCGTTGTTGTTACGTGCCGTCGAGTTGATTCCAACTCATAGCGACCCTGTATAGTGTTTCCAATGAGCAGTTGGTGGGTTTGAACTGTCGACCTTGTGGTTCGCAGTCCAGTGCTTTTCGCAGTCCAGGACCCCATTGGTGGTGGTGGCTGTGTGCAGTGGAGTCGGTTCCGACTCCTAGCGACCCTATACAAGGTTTCTGAGGCTGGAAATCTTCACGGGAGCAGAATGCCTCATCTTTCTCCCACGGAACAGCTGGCAGTTTCTAACTGCTGACCTTGCGGTTCATAGCCAGATTCATAACCACTACGCTATCAGAGCTCCTTCCAGGACTCCATTAGGTAGGGTTAAACCCAACTTTCACGTTAGCAACTGAGCTCTTACGATTGGTGCCATGAGGGCTGTTTATGGCATAGAGAGAAGAATACTCAGTACACTCAGCTCACAGAGGAGAAGCTGAGGGAGAGTTCATGATAAAGAGCTGCAGAAGCTAAGATTAGTGAGATAGTAAAGGGCAGGTTAACATGAGGTCAGAGTTGTTGTTATTAAGTGCTGTTGAGTCAGTTCCAACTCATAGTGATCCTGTATAAGGCTTCCAAGGCTGTAAATCTTTGCAGGAGCAGAAAGCCTCATGGCAGAGCAGCTGATGGGCTCGAATCATCAACCTTGTGGTTTGCAGTCCAGTGCTTATCCTACAGTCACTGCGCTCCCTAAGATCAGAATAAAGACACTGAATTCAATCCAATAGGGAATTTGGGCCATTACAGGTTGGACCAAGTCAGTACTGAAATCTTGCCTTTGTAGGACCCCATGTAGGACTAAATGAAAGAATGGAAATCCTACCCCAATTACAACTCCCAAGGCACGCTCCTCACTTGTCAACCTGTGAAGTCTGTTCAACTCCAGCTCTACATTCTTGTCACATACTCAAAGTTACACTTGGCATGTGTTCAATGTAGTGAGGTCTTTCTCTGTTTCTGTAACTTCCAAGCGCAGAACCCCACTGCCCCATGTAGTATGACATCCTAAAAGGATTCTCAATAGTTCCAGGAAGAAATTTTCCTTTCATTATGCCTGACAATACTTAAGTGATTTTACTTCATCAAAATGTTTAGCTTATTGTGTTGGATCATAGAGTCCCTAGATAGTAAAATGGTTAACATGCTGAGCTATTAACCAAGAGGCTGGAGGCACAAGTTTATCCAGATGTTCCTCAGAAGAAAAGTCTGGTTATATACTTGTAATAAATCAGTCCTTGAAAACCCCATGGAACACAGTTCTACTCTGACACACATGGGGCCATCAACAGTCAGAGTCTACTCAATGCCAATGTTAACTAGGGTTTCATCAAATAAGAATGCAAGTATCTTATAGAAAGAAGCTTCCTCTGGAAGTTAGAGGGAAAATAAGCCACCTGCAATTCCAATTCCACAGAGCATTTTGCATGCCTGAGATGAGGGAGTGAGGGATTCTGAGACAAGCAGGACAGTCCCTACCCACAACAGCTTCTGGTTGATCAGAAATGAATTTTTTCCACAAACCTCACCTGGCTACTGTGAGAGTCAAGTTGTCTGTGCAACCCTTAATTTTATTCTGAGCTTCCAAGTGCGTCATACTGCTAGTATTTTCCCCATCTATGGCTGTGATGACGTCTCCGATACATAAATCAGCGATAGCAGCTTTGCTTCCGGGAGTGACCTGGAGAAAAAGGGAGAGCTGGCTAGTTACTGTCTCCAAGGAAACCAATGAATAAGTCACCATGATATGGAGTAAAGTCCTTAACAAGGAAAGAGGGCTGAAATCATAAGCCTATATAATAACAATCTTTTCTATTTCTAAAATACTTCACAGTTTACAAAAGGTTCTTTTCTATATATATTCTCGTTGAATTCTTACAACTTTTCACAAAGGAGGACACCAGGAAACAAGCTTTGGAAGACCTGTAAATTGGCCCATGATCATCCAGCTAGTCTAGTACAGACCAAACCCTGAGTCAGACCAAATCAATGTCCCTTCAGGTGAGCCTTGTTGCCATCTAAAAACAAGTGAACAGTGACATTTGTAAAGCCCCGCCATTTAGCGAATGATACGTGGAGTAAGATCTTGGTGGCAGTGGTGACGGTAGGGTTCCATCATAGGAATCCTCAGATCTTGCGGTGAGCAGCCCAACACATAGCCTGCTACGTAGGCTACCAGTGCTTCTTAGAGTAACAGCCTAGTTCTGTACGAATCACGACTGCTAATATAGTTAATATATGCACACACAAAAACCTAGAACAGTAAACAGCAAATTTTTCCCAGTTAACATTTCTGTAACGTTGGTGGTTTTTAAATTTCATTTTATTTTATTTTACAATGATCACAAATTACTTTCATGATAAGAAAAAGCAATAAAGAATATATTAAAAATCACACAAAGCACACAATGATCATTGTGTGACCTTCAATGAACCAAATGTCCCCTTGGCGAGTTGGAAACATATTGAATCCAGAGGTTATTTTTCCTAAGGTTTCTGACCCTTGGGTATGAGAGAGGCAGCCTGGATTCTTTCTAAAACAGGGATCAGCAGAAGAATCTGGGATAGTCTGGCCTACTCTCTGTCAAAGCCAGGCCCCAGGCCTATGGGCTTACCCCACTTCATTTCTTCCCATCCAAGAAGCTGGCTATGGTTGGGGCCATCCCCATAAGGTGGCTGGCTTTCTGTCAATCAATGTCTCTAAACTCATGGCTCCAAATGTCTGGACCCCAGACACTTAGGAGAAGTCAGACAATTACAGCAATGGGTCCTCAAATCCATCTGCTTACTGAGCATTGCATGTGGGCTGGATAAATATTGTGTCTCATACACAGATGTACAACTATTTTTCAAGTGAATCAAGATGCTGTTGCAATGAATGAAGTACAAACTCATTTTGAAGTAGTATTTTGCTCCGAGTAGCTTGTTGCTACTAGCTACTTTCAAAACCAATAAAAATATTGCTATCATCATCTCAGGGTCAGTCCAGGGCTGTTTTTTGTTTTTACATAAAGAGACTTTTCTTGAGCAACTGAGGTAAACACTGTCATATACACAATCCTGCAATAACTGTGAACTATAGTAGCTGCATGGATAGACATGAGAGATGACTCTCTCAGGATATGGGAGGCAGAGTAAGAGTATATCCATGTATATAAGGTTTGACAGAGGCCATTTCCACATGTGTATTTATCTTTGCAGAAAATATATCCATGAATGTGGTGGCGCATACAGGGAACAGAGTTAGGAAGACTTCTGACACATAACCAAATACCTTGAAGCAATGAGTCACTGGGTTTGGGGGGGGAACCTCAAGATCATAGCCTCAGGAGACACCAGGGTAAGCTAGCATAACATAGTCCACAAAGACAATGTTCTATATCCTACTTTGGTGACAAGCAACTTAGATGGTTGTGTGTAGTCATAGTAAGGTACAACTACTGGTCTCGCCCTGTCCAGAGGAACAAAGAGTGAAGACAATTGAGGAAACACAGAAACCATGACTAATGGACCACACAACATCCATCTCCGTAATACTGCAACAAGAAGAATTAACCAGATGGTTTCTAACGACCTCTACCAACTGCTCTGAAAGTTACATTTGAAGATCTTGAATAAAATGGAAGAATATGGAACATAACTCAAAATCATAAAATAAAAAAAAAAGACCAGAATTACTGGTCAGATAGAAATCGGCAGAACCCATAAGAAGAGTATGGGTCTTGCTCCCTTCAAGTCCAGAAATGAACTCACTCCTACAGCTCAATTTTCAGCCAAACAGTACATCTTTAAGGGGAACCAATACACCAAGGCAGTACACACTCCTCAGAATAATCAACCATTTGATTATGGCGACATAGAAATCAAAAGAGCAACATTTACCAAAGGAAAAAACAAAGAATGATTAGGAAAGAAGAAGGTATGGAAACACGAAATACAGGGAGAAAAAGTGATGTTACATCGGCGGCTTCAATCAATGAGATGAAACAAAATGTATGTGAACTGTTGAATGGAAAACTGATCTGCTCTGTAAACCATCACCCGACTCACAACAAAAAGTTAAAATAAATAATGGGAATACCAGAGACCCCCAGGATCAGGGTAGCGGGAACACACCCAGACTTCTAGTTTCAGAAGGTTCTGGCTTCCACTTGAATGAGGCCCTTGGCTCCTACAGTCAACTGAGGAGAGTCTTATGAAAACCAGAACCACAGGTAAGAGAGCAAACAAGCGCCTTCAGCCTCAGTTCCTTATCAGCGCTCATCAAACTGAAACACTGACCCTTCTGGGGTGGCTGGTATGCTAGAATAGTTGGGGCCCATTCTCACCATCAGCACCCTGACCCCATGAAATGAGGGACCTTCTGGTTCGGACGTACTATGACTTTATCGGGAAACATTCTGCTGGAATGCAACAGGATGTGGAAACCAGTACAGAGATTTTGACCCCCTAACCTTCCTTTCTGGCTTTCCCATCATCTGTTTACCAGAGATCTGGCTCCCAGAAAAAGAAAGCCCGGCTCCCAGTTCAGACCTCTCACTCAACCACTGGAAAAGACATTTGTTACCAGAGGAGGCTGCTCTCTTTTAGTCAACAATGGGAAGTTAACATCTGAGTCATCCAGTTCATGCAGTTAAAACAAATGCCTCTCATTTTCTGATGGGTCTTCCTGAGATGACTGTCCTGCCGTGACTCAGACGTCTTTTTCTAAAGGAGAATTCAGATCCCTCGTTTTAGCAAGGACAGCTGCCACTGAGTGGACACCGGCTCATGGTGGCCCTATGTGTGTCAGAGTACAACTGTGCTCCAGAGCATTTCCAATGGCCGATTTCTGAAAAGTGGAGCACCAGACTCTTCTTCCAAGGCACCTGTGGACAGACTTGAAACTTCAAACTTTCTGATAGCAGCTGATTAACAATGCACATTAACCATCTGCACAATCCAGGGACTTGAGAAAGAACCCAAAGCATCACTTAATTTGAAGCTGGTTCAACTTTGAGATGATTCTGGATTGGCATACAATCTCCAAGGAGAGCAGCCTGCATCAAGGTGGAAAATGCCTGATCAAACTAAGGCATCGTGACCAAATCTAACAGTGTTAAAGAGGAGACCCCTTAGGATAAAATCCAAACTCTCTAGCAAGGCTGTAAAGATCAGCCCTCCATCCCAGCTCTCACTGTGCTCTTGACACAGTGTCCTCTTTGAGTTCTTTCCTACCTCAGGGCCTTAGCACGTGCTCTGTATCTCCTCTGATTCCTGCTTCTCATCCTTCAGGTCATGGCCGCCATGATGATTCCTCAGAGAGGCCTTCCCTGAGTTGAAGTTAGGTTCCCTGAGTTATCTCTTAAAATACTTCCTTCTTCTTCTTAGCACTTTATCACATTATGTTTGCAAATCTACTTTGTGGACTTGTTTACTTAATGTCTACTGGACCTGGAGGGCAGGAGTCCATCTTTTGTACCAGAGTAACCTCAGTGCCTGGTGTGTTTTACAGCAGGATAAGCACTGGACTGCTAACTGCAAGGTCAGAGGTTCAAACCCACCAGCTACTCCTTGGAAACCCTATACAGGATTACTGTAAATTGAAGCCAACTCGATGGTAACTTAACAACAATCCCCAGTGCCTGGCATATAGTAGATACTCAATCAATACTTTTTTCAATGGATGGCTGACTACAGTATTGAATGCTATTAAATACTTGATCATGCCCCTTCATTTTCTCTTTTTAAATGAGTCTTTCAAATGGAGTCATAAATAAGCATGTCCCTCAATATCCCTGTCCTGGAAAATGACCACTCACAAAACTAAGATGATGACATTAGGGGAGGATAGGATTGATTTGAGAAAATGAAAACAGAAGTTTCTTTTTCACTTGAGTATGTTCAGCCATTGAGAACTATGGAATTTTCAGCATTTGGTTCAAACTATCATCTTGTTGGAGAGACATTTCTGCTAAGTATAAGCTTGCAGGTCCTGAACAAGCCAGAACTTGTCTTCAGGGCCCTGAGCCTGAGGAATCAAGACCAGGCCATCCTGTTGCTCTGATTTTTCTTTTCTTTTGTTCAAGTGAAATTGATGAGAAGCCAAAGCAAATCTCAGAATGTTACAAGACAGCATCATTCATAAACAGATTAAGTTCATATTTGAAAAAGTGGGGGGAAAAACGTTTTTAACGAATAATGGATTTGTCTTTTAAAGCACTCAGCTGCTTACAGAAAGGTCAGCAGTTCGAACCCCCAGCTATTCCTCAGGTGAAAGATATGGTGGTTCGCTTCTGTAAAGATTTACAGCCTTGGAAGCCATGGGGGTCAGTTGACTATCCTCCAGGGTCACTATGAATTAGAATCAATGTGTTGTTTTGTTTTAATTTGAGATACTGATAATGATGAGGAAGTTGAGGCACAGAAGGCTACTACGTAAATTCACACAGCTAAAGGTGTCAGCCTGAACTTGAACCCAGATCTTCTCACTCCAAATCCCGTTCCCTTTCTGCTCTAAACCCCACTGTCGGAGTAAAAGAGAAATCCAAAGTTAAGGAGACTGTCTCCTGTACAAGGAACTAGATTGTCACAAATTCCTGCGGCTGGCTGTCCCCGCCCCCCACCCCCCAGCCACAGGATAATCTCTTCCACTGCTTTGTGCTGAGAATGATCCTAGTGTTCCCACCCCTTATGAAATGC